AATCTTATTCAGCCCTGTAATCCTACAAGATACCTGCGCTCCCGCAATTCTCACTTGTTGTGCATCCCTATCAATGACCTTGCCTTTATTTTCTTTAAGGTCTGGAATTCCTTCCCTCAAGTTTGCACAACACTCCTGCGAAACACCTTGCGATGTATAACTACATTAAGAGTGCTACACTTAAATATCATGAGTTCAAGGAATAAGAAAATGCTTGCAAGGGATATCCAGGTCAAAATTAAAGATCTTTATGAATATATAGTACAGTTGGTTCCTTAACTAAGCATGCAGGTAATATTATAATCGGAAATCAGGAAATGGCAGACTTATGAAATAGTGATTTTTGCATTGAGTCACACAATATAGAATGTAAATGAAATACCATTGACACGAAAAACAAAAAAAAACTAGAGAGGAATTTACTCAGTTCAAATCTCCTGGACATAATTGCTTCCATCTAAGATACTTTAAAAAAGGTGAGGAAATTGTCAATGCATTTATCATTATCTTCAAAAATATTTTTGATTAGAAAGGGTTTCCTTGGATTGGAAAAATTAAGACACAAACTAGGAAATTATATGCTATATGGCTAATGTCAGTTGGGGGTAAGGTGCTGTTATTAGGAAGATAACTCAGCATTTGGGCAAATAAATTGTAGTAAACATGAGGTAACAAGTAAGGATTTTGGAAGGGTAAGACCCATCTAAAAAAACCAAATTAATATACTTTATTTGAGGTTGAACGTAGTAGATAAGGGAGCTTCTATGCACGTTAGTTATATAATTTCCACAAGGCAGCGAATTATAGAATCACACAGTACAGAAGGGGCACTTTGACCTATCAAGTTTGTGCCACCAAACCCACACTGAATCTGCACTAGTCCCATTGATTGTTATGTCACTTCGAGTGCTCATCCAAGTACTTCTTAAAAATTGAAGTTACATGCCTCATCTACCCTCCCAGGTAATGCAGTCCAGACCCCCACCACCCACTACGAGGAAAAAAAATTTTCCTCAAATTTCCTGTAAATCTCATGCATTTCATGTTAAAATATGTCCCTTGTTATTGACCCTTCAACTAAGGGTTTCCTATCCATCTTGTCCATGCCCCTCAATCTTATACATCCCTACCATGTACCCCCCCACCCCCAACCTTCTCTAGTCAAAACAAAACAACCTGAACCTATCCAGCTTCTCTTCATATCTAAAGTGCTCCATTCCAGACAAAATCTTGGTGAATCTCCTCTGCAGCCCCTCCAGTGCAATCAAGTCCTTCCTGTGGTGCAGAGACCAAAACTGCACATACTACTCCAGCTGTGGCCTAATCACAATCCTGTACAGCTCCAACACAATTTATGTAATCTTATAATCTATGCCTTGAACGATGAATGCAAGTGTTCCATATGTCTTCTGAACTACACTATTAACATGCCCTGCCACCTTCATAGATGTGTAGACGAAAACCCCAAAGATCTCTCTGTTCCTGAGCTTCCTCGTTCCTGCCATTTATTGAGTACTCCCTCGTCTTTGTTACTTCTTCCACCTCAAGAGCTTGCCAACCTGATGAAAAATTGGCTTGACAGTAGGAGACAAAGGGTGGTGGTGGAGGATTGTTTTTTGTACTGGACGCCCTTAGCCAGCAGTGTTCCTCAGGGATTGGTGCTGGATCCCCTGTTGTTTGTCATTTATATAAACGACCTGAATGAGAATTTAGGAGGCTTGATTAGTAAGTTTGCAGATGACACCAAAACTGGTGGTATAGTGGACAGTGAAGAAGGTTACTCAAGATTATCTAAGGTTATCTATCAAAGGGATCTTGATCAATTAGGCCAAAGGGCTGAGGAGTGGCAGATGGAGTTTAATTTGGATAAATGTGAGGTATTGTATTTTGGTAAGATGAACAAAGGTAAGACTCGTACAGTTTATGGTAGGACACCCAGGATTCAGGTACATTATCTTTGAAAGTTGCGCCTCAGGTAGACAGTACGGCTAAGGTGGCATTTTGCACACTTGCCTTCATTGCTCAGACCATTGAGCAGAGGAGTTATGTTGAGGTTGTACAGGAGGTCAGTAAGGACACTTTTGGAGTACTGCATACAGTTCTGGTCCCCCTGCTATAGAAAGGATATTTTTAAATTAGAGAGGTTCAGAAGAAATTTACAAGGATAGTGTCAGGACTGGAGCGTTTGAGTTATAAGGAGAGGCTGGATAGGCTGGGGCTTTTGTCACTGGAATGTAGGAGGTTGAGGGGTGACCTTATAGGATTTTATAAAATCATGAGGGGCATAGATAAGGTGAATAGCAAAGGTCTTTTCCCTAAAGTGGGGGTGTCCAAAACTAAAGGGAATATTTTGAAAGTGAGAGGAGAAAGATTTAAAAGGGACCTAAGCGTCAATATTTTCCACACAGAGGGTGGTTCGTATGTGGAATGAACTGCCAGAGGAAATTAGAGATGCAAATACAGTTACAACATTGAAAAGACATTTGGACAGTTACATGGATAGGAAAGATTCAGAGGGTCATGGGCCAAAAGCAGGCAAGTGGTCCTAGTTTAGTTTGGGAAACTTGATCAGCATGGACAAGTTGGGCTGAAGGGTCTGTTTCCAAATAGTATGACTCTCAGGGATAATTCCATCTGCCACTGATTTGCCCATCTGACCAATCCATTTATATCTGCCTGTAACCAAGACCTTCTTCCTCAGTGTTAACCACCCAGCCAATATTTGTGTCATTGCAAACTTACTTATCATCTTTCCCCATATTCTCATCTACGTTGTTTGTGATACAAACAACAAAGGACCAAGTACTGATCCCCCTGCGGGACACCACTAGAAATTAATCTCCAGCCACTCAAAAAGAGAAAAAACCCTTCTACCACCAATGTTGGTTGCAACTTGCCAAGTTTCCCTGTATCCCATGTGTTTGTACCTCTTTCAGTCTCCCATAACGGAGTTGGTAAGATTCAATTAAGAGACTTTTAACAAAAGTAAGTGTGTTTTAAATTGAAAGCAACAGGTTTGGAGGTAGGTTAGAGAACCCGACAACAGGTTTAATTTGTACATGCCCCAATTACCCAACAATGTATGATGACACTGCCCTACACATCGATCTGTACTGGGTCCTTTTCATTATAATAATAAGTGACTTGGATGAAGGGATAGAAAAACACATACCTAAGGTGCTGATGACACCAAATCAGGTGACACAGTAAATAGTTTTATGCTCTTGTCTATTCTCCCAGTGTCTAATTGAAGTTCAAGTTCGTGGAAAAAACTCTACAGAACAGTTCAACATGGGAAAGGTATGAGGTATCTATTTTGGATTCCAAAAAGCTAGGTCAACAGATTCTATACATAGCAAGAAGTACTAGCTTCTGTATAAATATAAAACTGAATAAAGGAAGTTAACAGATAAATAATTTAAATATCAGTGAGCTAGTAAAGTATTGGCAGAGTCACAATGGAACAGGAGGACATTTGGCCCATTTGTTCCACGCTAGCTCTCTGTAAAGTAATTCTGTTCATTCCATTTGGTGCCACATCTAACCAAATATTAATGTACAATAAAAATGAACACCTTGACAACATTCCTACACACTCAGGTCAGCTATTCCTGGACAGCAGTAACGTTGCTGCAACTAACTGTTGGATCCCAATTCTTCTAGCCATTCCTCAAGAGTCATGAATGTAAATAGAAATTTCAGAGATGGTTCATCTGGATTAGAAAGGTCGATCCAATAATGAATTTATTTTCAGCTCTTACTGCTCATAAACGGGCTTGCACTTCATAAAACAAATAATCTATGCAACAAAGGAAAAGAGTTTAAAATTGTAAGAACCCTTTCTCACCAAACCATACACAGCTACTGCAGTAACTACAAAATCTTCTGAGTTGAGGATTCCATTTATGTCGTAGCAGTTTACATTGCGCCAGAGCTTCCAATACTTCATTCTCTGCCTATACGGCTGACAGAAACATGTCATTGACTCTGTACATGTCACATTAAAACAAACATAAAACAGCATAGGGAATAGGCACAAGAGTAGGCCTTCAACTCTCAAACCTGCCCCAAGATCATGCAGATTTGCTTCAGGCCTCAACTACTCTTTTTTTCCAGCTCAACACAGCCATCAGTTCCCTGATATTTAAAAATTCTATCTACCTCCTCTTTAAATACTTTCAGTGATATAGTGTCCACAGCTCTCTAGAGTAGAAAATTCCAAACATTCAGTAATCTCAGGGAGAAGAAATTCCTTCACATCTGAGTTTCAAATGAGTGTCCCCATTATTCTGTAAATACATGCCCTAGTTCGAGATTCTGCAACTGGTGGAAACATCTTCTCAACTCTATGGTGTCAAGCCCACTCAGAATCTTGCATGTTTCAAGAAGATCTTGTTTTTCTAAACTCTAATAAATAAAGGTCTAACCTATTTAGCCATTTTTGATAAGTCAACCATTTCATCTCAAATCAGCCTGTTGATCAGCCTCCAATACCATTGCATCCTTTCTTAGATACAGAGAACCAACCTGTACACAGTATCCCAGGTTCAGCCTCACCAACAGTTGTAAGACTTTCCTGTTTTTAAGTTCCAACTCCCTTTAGCATTAAAGGCCAAAATTCTATTTACCTTCCTGATTACTTGCTGCACCTGAAAGCTAACCTTCTGTGCTTCTGCACAAGAACACACAGCTCCCTCTAAGCTGCACTTTTTGTTTTGAGAGTCCGGATGTATTAGAAGAAAGGTGGCTCATGGAGTCAAGAGTTAGTTGCCAGACATCTCCAGAAGCAAGGAGCAGACACCCATTATTGTCAGATTTGGTCACTATTTTCTGGCTGTTTTCTTTTTGTTTTGAGGACAATCCATGACTGCGAGAAATTCTCTACCTCATAATGTAATTATAAATCATATCACAACACATGTCTATAAGAAACATTTCTGCATGATGATCAGGGTACAAGAATGCCAATATGGGTACAATAGCTCTGAACGAACAATCACCTGCTTTCATTTTTCGATCGCTGAAAGTGGTTGCCAGAATTAGCAAAGTTGTTTTCATAGGCCTCTGATCCTCTGTCTGTTTGCGTCTGAACATTTCTGTAAAGGAATAATCCATAGTTTAAATATTTTGCCATGCCTTTTAATTGAAGAGACCAATGACATACATACTACTGTAAAAGTATTAGAAACATTTTGTTCCAGCAATTGTATATATTTTTGCACTGACAGCACACTTCCCCAGTGAGTTATGACATATAAATAAGTGAACCTTAAAGAAAATAGAGATCAGGAGGAATGGGCCACTTGGCACCTCAAGCCTGCTCTGCCAGTCAACAGATCATGGTTGAGCTCATTATTCCACGTTCCTGCCTACCTTGATAACACTTTACACCCTGGCTTATCAAAAATCTATCTACCTTAGCCTTAAAGATATTCCAGGACTCTGCCTCAAGCACCTTTTGAGGAAATGTGTTTGTAATCTTTTGGAGCTATCACAAGGCAGCAAATTATTAAGATATTTAATATATATGGTTTAGATAGCAGTTTTCCATCAGCACTTGAGATCCTCAAGAGATCATATTCACAAATTATGTGAATCAGAATAATTTAGATATCACTGTTGAGCAGATATTTCATCGCAATATCATGAAAATGATCTGCATTAAAATAATGTACTTCCCATGAAATGTTATCAAAATTTTCTAAGTCTGTAATAATCTGTTATTATTACCTTCTCTGACCAACCTCAGGATCATCAGATTTTCGATATCTGTCCTCTTCTTGTCGCTTTTGATTCAACAATTCCTCATAAGCTTCCATTGAAGTATAAGCATCTTTCCTATGAGATGCTGGATTGAGTGCCCCTGTTCTTATTTGAGTTGTATTCTGAAAGCTGGTATCATCTGAAGGATCAATATTCTCCTTATAATACTGGTTATAATGTTGAAATAAAATCAATTAGAATCCAAATAAACACTGGCTCTAAAGTGTCAAAATGCATGATACAGTTAAAATATCTGTATATTTAACGTGTATTTTCCACATAGGACGCAACTTATAGTGATACGTAACAGTTTAGAAATCTGAATAGCCAGTAATAGAAAATTTCATACAGCAACAAAGGAGAAAGGAATGGGATAAGTTAATAGGGAAAGATTAAATAAAGTGGGAAGAATACGAAAAAGGAATTGCTGGCAAAACTCAGGTCAGACAGCATCTATGGGGGGAAATGCGTTAATCTTTCGTTAATCAATGACCTTTCATCAGAACAAGTGGTCTGCTTCCATACTTGAAATGTAATGTAATACTATTTAAAAGTTCACTGCCTTAGTATGGCAAGCATTAGCTGTGAATTATTGCTTTGTAAATCCAAGTATACAATGGTGACCACAGCCGTAGGTAGTACAATCACGGCTCTTTCCAATGCATACTAACGACCTGGATATGGGTACATAGGGCAAAATATCAAAATTGTTTACTATACAAAACTCAGAAGTAATAAACAGTGCAGCGGAAAGCAGCACTCTTGAGGAGAACAGAGATATATTAGCAAACCAAACAAGTAAAACAGCAAGTTGGAATGCAGAATGAGGAGAATTAGCACAAAAAAATTGTACATTTTTTTATGGGGAGCAGGAACAAAGACCTGGGTTTTACATGTTTAAATATTTGAGTGGCAGATCAGGCAAAAGCTGATCAGAAATAAAAGCATATGAAAATATTGGATTCATAAATTCATCGCTAGGGATTTTTGCTCAACATTTATGGGTCAGAGGTTAGCCACAGCTAGAATATTGTGTTTGGTTCTGTGCATCACACTCTGGGATAAAGTCTTGAACAAGATGCAGAGAGAATTTAGTAATATGCTACCAGAAATGAGTAGCTTCAGATCCACGCATGGGGGTGGGGTGGGGGTGGGGGGGCTGCGGAGAGCGGTGGTGAGAGACAGAATAGGAGTGTGTGAGAAAGAGAGGGGGGGTGAGGGACAGTGAGTGAGAGAAGTGAGTGAGAGAGAGAGAGAGAGAGAGAGAGAGAGAGAGAGGGAGGGGCACGCAGAGAGGCAGAGGCACAGAGAGAGAGAGAGGGGGATGGTAGGGGGACAGAGAGAGGCAGAGGCAGAGAGACAGCCTGACAGAGACAGCGAGATAAAGAGAGAGCGAGAAAGAGACCGAGAGACTGAGAGAGAGGGAGAGAGGGAGAGAGAGACAGAGAGAGAGAGATCAGAGAATTTGTGATTGTTCTCTTTAGAGCGGAGAAGGTATTGGGGAGCTTAGAACATGTTGGGGAATTGTAAAAGAAACAAACATTCACAACTTTAAGGGGTTCTGATAGAATGCATAAGAAACTGTTTTTCAACTGGCAAGAAGATCAGTAACCAGAGCAAATTGATTTATGGTGTTTGTTGGGAGACAAGGATGACAAACTAAAATACTGTATGAAGGCTAGTACTGACAGATAATTCCATTTGGAACAGCAAAATGTGGAATCAGTTTGAATGGAGATGTAAAATAGCAAAGGAAAAATATTAATGATGGAAACAAAACAAGAAATAATACTGGGTTATAAAAAAGGTACACAAATCATGGGTGATTTTAATCTTGACATGAATTTGACGCATCAAATTGGCAAAGTTAGCCTAGATGAGGTCATGGTTTTTTAGACAGGCTTTTTTTTTTTTTTTTAAGAACAATACATTGTGGAACCAGAGAACAGTTATTTTAGACCTGGTAAGTGGGCAAGATTAATTCACGAACTCTGTAGAGAATTCTCTAGACAGGAGTTATCATACTACAAGCAAGTCTCACATTCAGTTCAAGAAATGCAGGTCAAAGCAAATGTCTTAAATGTAAAGGGAATGACAAGGATATGAACATAGCATTGGTAAGACTGAAAAAACAGGTTAAAAGATAATACTGTAGAGATGCACTGTGACATTTAGGCACAGAGGCTAAACAGTCTACTCCACCTATTTCTTATAATCCTATAATTTTATCAAGTAGTTCAGAATTGGAATTCGCTGCCTGAAAGAGTGGTGAAAGCAGATTTACTAGTGATTTTCAAAAGATAGCTGGGTGCATATTTTTCAAGGAAAGAAGTTTGTTGTTTATGGGGAGAGAAGTATAGCAGGACTAACTGGATAGCTCTTTTAAAGAGCTAGTACACGCACCAAAGTCCACTGCTCTCCTACTCTGACTTTACACACACATAGAATATATACTTTAAACCACTTCTTTGGTTGGACGTTAACATTAACTTCCTGCCAGATTATAATTATTTCCTGTTCAATCCAAAAAAAAGTCACCTTCGGTAGCCACCTGTCATTTCTTTTTAAACGTTCATATTTGTCTTGCTCCCTAAGAAACTGATTGTACTCCTTGTTTCTTTCCGTTCTCAGTCTGTCCTGTAAGAATATACAAAACAACACGTTAATGATAATCATCATATTTGCCCAATCACTGCAAATCGATAATCATTTCAAGGTCAAAGGGGAAGCAACTGAAATATTAGGTTATATAGTTAGAACAACTCAATTATGAATGTCATGAGACATGTCTTATATAAGCCCCTGCCAAAATTTCAGCTTGATGATAGTGTCCAGTTTTATTCATATGGCATGGTCAGTAATAGTGAGACCCTTGAGAAGGTCCAGTCTGAGGCAACTAGAAAAAAAGCTAAGAGGCCCAATACTAGGGTCTGGATTTCATTAAAACATGACTAAGCATCTATTTTGATACATTTCATGAAGGATTTCTCTCTATGAGGTTATCCTGTGCAATTCTCTGCAGCTCACCTTATTATGAACATACCACACCTTTATGGCACTGTTCTCCCACTCACCAGTGGTGAAAATATTGCCTGCACCTTCCAGAATTTCCACCACTGGCACTACATTTAAAGTCCAGCTATGCGCAGGATTAATCACTGCCAGTCATGAACAGCTCTTCACAATGCATATAATTGGAGGGAAATGAAAAAGACTTCTAAAGGACACACAGATAGCACAGGGGATAGTTCATTGGAAATAGAAACTCACATTTGTCAATGTACTGCTATTTTACATCATCACCTGTCTGATCAACTGTCATTGCAAATGCAGCTACAAGAATATACTTAGGCTACCCGGTCTTAGTGTCATACCACATCAGAACACCACCTAAGGTAGTTACTCTCACATCCAGTGTCACATGACATCTCACCATTGTTCAGGATTGACTACGGCTCGGCTGGCCAACTTGGAAGAACAGGGTCAACTGTCAAGCAGCTAACTCTTGGCAAATCTCTTGCAGCTCCCCAACTGACTTGTCATTATTCCATCTGGTTACACAGAACCTGCAGGACTAATTGTGGCCCATTCCCTACACTGTAAGTTTACAGAACCTCTAACCCTGACCACCCAAAGCTCCAGACTGACATCTGACATTGCCCTGGACTTATCACGCCAGGACCATTGAGTGACGACAACAGTCCTCCTGACTGAGGACAACTCCCCTTAGACTTTGGGGTGTGGCCATTTGGTTGAAACACATGCATTGTACTAGCTGCATAAACATCCATGCAAGTTGGCTTAGGAAAAGCATCAGCCTCAAAACAAAATTGCATGTTTGTAGCATAACAATTTTCAAGGCTTTGCGCAAGTATTTTGGGGCTGAAGAATATACAGACTTGTAAGTCACTTTGTGCTAATGCACTGCCAGGCATCTTACGTGTCTACACACGACTTTTAGCACTGACTGAGAACAAGGCACCTTCTGTGTGTCTTAGCCTACTTTTTCGCAAGCAAGGTATTCAGCACCAAGTTGGAGACAAACAAGCTCTCATGTTCTAACTCGTCTTTTCAGTGCAGAAGGAGGGGCAGGCAGCTTGTGGCAGATGGAAGCATCGATAAATAAATGTATCTGTGAGAAATGGGACGGACATATTGCAGTCCATGTTACATCAAGATCAGAACTGCAACTTCTGCCAGCACCTTACACAGCAAACACACTGCATGTGCTTTTAAAAAGAGCAATGTGTGAAAATCAAAAGGAGATGAGTGTTTAGTAGGATGAAAATGGATTCCAGTCAGTCCGGAGATACTGTCTGAGTCAAATTGCAGACCAAGTTTGGCTACTGTCAGTCAAATCCTTGATCCTACATGATTTCATGGATCCAACCTTTGCAGAGTTTGGACATTGGTCAGTCACCAAGGTCTTGCAATAGTCTGGGGATTAGATGTAGATCAGTCAGGCTGTTGTTGAGAGACCAGTCTGGGAGGTGGGCTTTGGACAGCTGAACTCTTCTACCAAGACCGTCAGGGAAGAGGTGTCATGGGATTCAGTCACTAATAGTGAGAGGCTGGTGAGCATGGAGTTCTTGTGAAAGTGGACAGCTCAGAAGTGAGGATTGGCCTGAATATATCGGGTCACTGAAGGAATAGGGACAGTGATGGGTGGTAATTGAAGATTGTAGGGTGGGAAGGAATAACAGGGAGGATGCAGGGCCAGCAGGGGCATAGGAACAACAAGTAATTAGGAAGGCAAATGGAATTTTGTCCTTCATTGCTAAAGGGATTGAGATTAAAAGCAGAGAGGTTATGCTGCAGCTGTACAAGGTGCTGGTGAGGCCACACCTGGAGTACTGTGTGCAGTTTTGGTCTCCTTACTTGAGAAAGGATGTACTGGCACTGGAGGGGGTGCAAAGGAGGTTCACTAGGTTGATTCCAGAGTTGAGAGGGTTGGCTTATGAGGAGAGACTGAGTAGATTGGGATTATATTCATTGGAATTCAGAAGATTGAGGGGGGATCTTATAGAAACATATAAAATTATGAAGGGAATAGATAAGATAGAAGGAGAGAGGATGTTTCCACTGGCAGGTGAAGCTAGGACAAGAGGGCACAGCCTCAAGATTAGAGGGAGCAGATTTAGGACTGAATTGAGAAGGAACTTCTTCACCGAGAGGGTTGTTAATCTATGGAATTCTTTGCCCAGTGAAGTAGTTGACGCTACTTCAGTAAACGTTTTTAAAGATAAGGTAGATTTTTTTTGAACAATAAAGGAATTAAGGGATAAGGTGAGAACGCGGGTAAGTGGATCTGAGTCCACGAAAAGATCAGCCATGATCTTATTGAATGGCGGAGCAGGCTCGAAGGGCCGGACGGCCTACTCCTGCTCCTAGTTCTTATGTTCTTATGTTCTAACATCCAGTGTTCAGGGAAGGAATAAATTTGAGCTTCACTGTTAAGGATGTGAGGGCTGAGACATCCCATCATCAATACTGCTTGATTTCCCCTCAAATGATCTTATAACTTATGTTTACCTTTTTAGTGGATTTACTCCTAGTGAGAAGGAATTGAAGAACAGAAACAAGAGCTTCTGCAAGCCCAACAAGAACAGCAACCTCCAGCAACTGTTGCACAGCTTCCAGAGAGAGAAGTGGCAGGGGAGGAAGAAGATTGGCAGTGCTGTGCTGATACGGTATTCAAAAGTAAGGTGAACAGATAGAAGTGAATTAAACAAAGAACTGTAGAACTGCAAAGAACTGGAAATCTGAAACAAAAACAGAAATTGCTGGAGAAACTCAGCAGGTCTGGCAACATCTGTGGAGAGAAAGTAGAGTTAACAGAGCGAGTTCAGTGATTCTTCTTTGAATTTCTGTTTTTACTACAGGATTGAATATTGCCCCCCTGCTGCCAGGATCAAGGATGTCTCAGAGCAGTGAAGGCAAGGAGAGGGTGAATAATAAGTGGTCGTGGTACATACTGGTACCAACATCACAAGTTTTAAAAAGATGTTAATGTCCTACAAGCAGTATATAGGAAGTTAAAACTCAAATTTTAAAAAGTAAGACTTCAAAAGGTAGTAATGTCAGGATTACTTACCAGTGCCATTTGCTATCACAAGCAGAAATAACAGGATATATGTTGTGAATACCTGGCCGGAGAAAAGGCAGAGGAATGGGAACTTGAGTAGGCAGAGAGAGGATGAAACAAGCATTGAAACGAAAACAAATGCAGCATAAAAGGCAGTTGGAGAAAAACAAATGAGGTCATAGTGCAAAATAAAGGTCAGGTAACTTACCAAGTTTAAAAAGAAAAGTCTGAAGGCCTTGTGTCTTAATGCACAGAGCAATAAGTAGATAAATTAGCAGCGCAGATATAAACAGATATGGAACGGTGGCAATTACAGTAACATGACTGCAAGGTTCCAAGGATTGAAACTGAACATCCAAGAGTATTCATTATTTAGGAAGGATCGACAAATAAGGAAAGAAATTAAGATAGAATTGTGCATTTAGTACAAGAGAAATCATGCAATATGAGGATTGATATTGGCTCAGGAAAATCATGATGTGAAGATAAGAAACACCAAAAAGGACAGAAAACATTGGTGGGAGTTGTCTATAGATACCTAAACAGTAATGGAGAGGTAAGAGGTTTTAAATAAGATCAGAGATGTTTGCAATAAGGTTACAGCTGTAATCAAGGGTGACTTTAATTTATACATATTCTAGTCTGTGTACTGTGCAATGAGAAAGTCTTGTTGCACGGGGTCCATTGAGAAGAGTGACCATAACATGGTAGAATTCTTCATTAAGATGAAAAGTGAAGTTATCAAATCCAAAAACAGTGTTCTGGTATGAGGTGCAAATTGGCAAGGATTCATTGGGGTAGCTTATTAAATGGTTTATTGTGGATGGACAACATACTACTTTGAGAATATGTGCATGAATTTCAACAAATATTCATTCCTTTCTGGCTCAAAAATAAAACAGGAAAGGTGGCTCAATCATGGCTTCAAGAAGAAATTTGGGACAGCATTAAATCCAAAGAGAAGATATATAAAATGTCTAGAAAAAGCTGCAAGCCTGAGGATTTTAGAATTTAGCAAGTGTGATCAATAAATGGAAAATAAAGTCTGAGAATAAAAATTGTAAGGAACATAAAAACTGACCATGGAAAGTTTTTATAAATATGTGGAGAGGAAAAGATTTGTATTCACACATAGGTCCCTTATAGTCAGAAGCTGGGAAAATTCAAGTGGGGAACAAAGAAATGGCAGAAGAATTGAACACATTCTTCTATTCTTCACAACAAAGGGCACAAATAACCTCCCACAAATGGTCTAGTGAGAAGGCAAAAATGGAAGAAAATCAGTATTGGTAAGAAAAGTGCTAGAGAAATTAGTGGAGTTAAAGTCTGACAAATCTACATCCCAGAGTTCTAAAGGAAATGGCCCTGGAAATTTTGGATACTTTGGTTGTCATCTTCCAAACTTCTATAGACTCTGGAGCGGTTCCTGCAGATTGGAAAGTGACAAATCCACTATTTAAAAAGGAAGGGAGAGAAAAAAGAGAATGACAGAGCAGTTAGCTAACATTAGCAGTGGAGAAAATGCTAAAATCTACTATAAAAGGTGCGTTAACACAACATAAAGGCAGCATATGGGTTTACGAAAGGCTACTCATGCGTAACAAATCTACTGGAGTATTTTTTTGGAGGATGTAACTGGTAGAACAGATCAGATAGAACCAGTGGATTCAGATTTTCAGAAGGCTCTTAAGTCTCCCAAAAGAGGCTAGTGGGCAAAATTAAGGTATAAGGGATTGGAGGTAATATATTGGTTGATAGACAGGAAACAGTGGGAATAAATAGGATGGATTTGGAAGTTGGGAGAAGAATGCAAGAAAGTTTCGAAGTGATTCAGGCAAGTTGAGTGAGTTAGCAAAAGGATAGCAAATGCAGTCTAACATGGCTAATATGTGAAGTTATACACCTCGGTCTGAAAAACAGAGAGGCAGAATATTATTTAAATGGTGATATATTGGGACTTGCAGACGTACAAAGGGATTAGGGTAAAAACCGAAAGAGCTGCGGATGCTGTAAATCAGGAACAAAAACACAAGTTGCTGGAAAAGCTCAGCAAAACGGATTAGGATGTTCGTGTACACCAGTCAATGAAAGTCGACAGTCAGGTACAGCAAGCAATTAGGAAGGCAAATAGTAAATTGGCCTTCATTGCAAGATTAGATTTCAGCTCAGAAATAGGGACATCTTACTGCAGTTACAAAATGCCTTGGTGAGACCACACCTGGGGTATTGCATGTAGTTTTGGTCTCCCTATCTAAGAAAGGATATACGTGCCATAGAGAGACTGTAATGGAGATTCACCAGGCTGATAGCATGGGGGAATGGTCAGTTATCTCAGTTGGCTAGACAGCCAGTTTGAAATGCAGTATAATGCCAACAGCGGGGGTTGAATTCCTGTACCAGCCAAGCTTACTATGAAGGACTCTCTTTGTCAACCTTTCCCCTCAACTGAGATGTGGTAAATCTTAGTTTAAACAGCCGCTAATCATCTCTCTGATGAGAAATATGCCCTATGGTCCTTTCAGACTATGGCGACTTTTACCATTGATGGCAGAACCATCCGACGAGAGATTAGTTTGACTGGGCCTTTATTCCCTAAAGTTTGGAAGAATAAGAGGGGAGAAAACAAATAAAAGAAGTGACATTCTAGATGCTTTGAGGATGTTTTCCCTGACTCAGAATCTAGAACCACGGGTCACAGTCTCAGGAAAAGGAGTGGGCCATTTAGGACTGAGTAAAGAAACATTTCTTCACTCAGCAGGTGGTCATCCTATAGAATTCACTACCAAAGGAGACCATGGAGGCTAAGCTACTGAATATATCCAAAAAAAAAGGATATATTTTTAAATATTAAAGGCTTCAAAGAGTTTGGGAAGAAAGCACGAACATGCATAGAGATAGAAGATCAGCCACGATCATACTGAATCACAGAACAGGCGTAAAGGGCCAAATGGCATACTTCTGCTTCTAGTTTCTGCATTTCTATTAAAACAGGGCAGCAAAAACAATCCTTCGAGGATCAAGCTGAGGACATTAACCAGGGGCTTTTGATGGGTGGGGAGGTTGGCACCCATGAGGGAAGGACAGAGCATGTTACATAGAGATTAGAGACAATCTTATTGTCACCGACATGGATGAACTGGATTCAGACTTTGGTTGACTGCTTCTCAAAATTGCTCTCTGGTAACTTAGTATTAAGGAAATGTCAAAGTTATTGGTTTGCTGTTCTTCATTTATTGTGTGGCAGACTAAATGTTATATTATCCATGTTTGTGTCCATGTACAGCAATCAATGAAAGTAGCCAAGCAGGTGCAGCAAGCAATTAGGAAGGCAAATGGAAATTGGCCTTCGTTGCAAGAGGATTTGAATTCAGAAATAGGGATGTCTTACTGCAGTTATACAGGGCCTTGGTTGGACCACATTTGCAGTATTGCATGCAAGTTTTCATGTCCCTACCTCCGAGAGGATATAGTTGCCATACAGGGAGTGTAGTGGGGGTTCACTAGGTTGATAATAGGGATGGCAGGTCTGCATTATTAGAAGATGTTGGTTCAAATGGACCTGTATTCACAAGAGTTTAGAAGGATAGAAAGAATCTGATTGAAACATAAAAATATAACAGAACTGGACAGGCTAAACGCAGGGAGGATGTTTTCCCAGGTTGGAGAGTCTAGAACCAGGGATTGAGATTAGGAAATATTTCTGCACTCAAAAGGGCAGTGAACTTGTGGATTTTTTGAGCACAGAAGGCTGTGGAGGCCAAGTCACTGAATATATTCAAAAAAGTGATAAATACAGTTCTAAATTTTAAAGACATCAAGGAATATGTGGAAAAAGTAGAAAAATGGTACTGAGACAAAAGATCAACCATGATCCCAATCAATGGTGAAGTAGTCTCGATGTTTCTTTGACAGCAATTAAAATGCAGGAGGCAACACTTTGTGAAGCTTTTCTCTGCAGACTGCTGAACAGTGTACTTGGACATATCAGCTGCTATCAGTTCTGAAGAACAGTTACTGGACTCAAATCATCAATTCTGCTTTCTCTCCACAGGTGCTGCCAGATTTGCTGAGATTTTCCAGGAATTTTTGTTTCTGTAACATATTTAATGGTCTGAGTTCAAAGGACTGAACCTTTCCGCAATGGAAACACAGCATCATATGCCAATAGTTGTCAAATATAGCTTAAATATTTAGTTAGTAGCTAAGATAAGCAAATTTAAATTGTAATTAGCATGAACTTGTCTTACATACATACCTTCGCTGATTTTCTATCGGAGATAGGAAGTGAAAGCCTCTCAACTTTTAACACTTGATCTTTTGTGGTCCTAGAATTTTTCTGGAACAAGGAAAGTTCTATAATCAAGATTGAACATATAATCAAAGAATCCATACAGTGCAGATAGAAGCCATTTGCCCGATCAAGTCTGCACTGACCCTCCGAACAGCATCCCACCCAGACCCAACTTATCCCCATAACCCCACATTTGCTATAACTAATCTACCTAAGCTACACATCCCTGGACACTAACGGGCAATTTAGCATAGCCAATCCACCTAACCTGCACATCTGAGGGGGAAACCAGTGCAGCGGCAGTAATCCACACATGGAGAAAACATGCAAACTCCATACAGAGTCACCCAAGGCTGGAAACAAACCCAGGTCACTAGCACTGTGAGGCAGCATTGCTAACCACTGTGCACCCATACAATTCCTCTCTTTGTTTACCCTGTTAGGGTAATGGTTCTCAAGCTTTTTGGAATCAAACCAAAATAAGTCACCGCCTTCTGCAACCAGTCAACTTACTAATATCAGCACAAAAATCGCCATATAAAATGGAAACTCAAATTATTGGTATTGTCAATCTCATGGGTTTGTGTTTCCAACTTACACCCTATCCATTTTCCTTCAGGACTTCAGGGGTCTGAGGAAGAGCTATACTGAACTTGAAATATTAACCCTGTTCTCTCTCCATAGATATTGCCAGACTTGTGGAGCACATCCAGAACCTTCTGTTTTTATTTCAATCGACAGCATCTGCAGTATGTTGCTTCGATTTGATGATTGTCTCATCTATCTCAATCACTGGACTTTATAAGAGGTCCGAGTGGCACAATTAAGGGTCGAAAAAGTCTTCTCTCTTTGGACATCAGTAGAAAAGAAGAAGCAATAAATTTTAGCATTGATTAATTAGAATATGAATTAGAGTAATGGCAGTCCAATTTGAGAATGTGTGTTGTTCAACAACTTGGTTTTCACACACCGGGACCAAGATATTGAAGTGTACATGATGTTTAGGAAGAACAGGAACTCAAAGATGGAGGAGTGGCTTTGTTCAAGAAATCGGTCTGTAGAAGCAGTTTTGTATAGACGTGTAACAATGTAAACTTCAGAGCTTTAATAACTTCATGGATTGAAAGAATCACCAATAACTCTTTCCGGGATAAATTGTTTCCCGAGATGAAAGAGACAAGGAGAAACTGTTATAAAGGAATTAAGCAACATGCTAATTAACCATCCCTGGGAAGAAGGAATCAATGCAACATTAACAAGATGTTTCCTGGGAACAGCAGATGACACTGCTTGATAACCTACTACCTTATGGCAAACGGGCATTTAAGACTGCATGCAGAAGGGATATCCAGAAGTAAAAGGGTTATTTGCAGGACAGACTGTTTCAAACAGACAGCTAACACCAAATATTACAAAGAACAGGGGAGATACTTCTGACCAGAAGGCAAGCTACAAACTGGAGGTCTCCAAAACCGTAATCAATGCTATAGAGGAAAAAAACCTAAAGAATCTCAATAATGTCACACAAACTTGAAAGAGACAAAATTGTATAAGAATCCAACACCAGAACAATTCAGCAGCAGAACGCCAAAGAAAAAAGCTGCACAAGGATCAAACACTGGCCATATCCAGAGACAGACATTGTTGGTTGGAATCTTAGCTAAATTCCACCATAGCCAAGTTGAGTGTGAGGCTTAACTTGCTTACTTGAGGGGTCCTAATTTGTTTGCTACATGCAATAAAGTTTAAATCATTGTTTCAGTACATGATTATCTGTAAGATTTCTTAATAAGTAGCCGAATTAAAGGTAACTTGTGGTGATTTATCCACAACAGAGGAGAAACAGTAAAGCCTAGAAGAGGTACATACGCCCACTAACAGTAACCACATGGTAGGATGGAGTAGATCCATAGAAACTGGAAAAATCAGACAGATAAAAGGTAGCCTAGATGAGGAGTCCATAGAACATTTTCATGATAGTTTCGTAGAACAGCACACTTTGGACCAACCAGAAAGCAGGAAATACTAAACCTGGTATTGTACAAGATGGAATTAATGATTTCATAGTGAAGGCAGCCCTTGCTAGCAATAACCAAAATCTGATTTAATTTTACACTCAGTTTGAAGAGAGGAGTGGGTCCAAGGCTTGTACTATAAATAAAATAAGGGCAATTACAAGGATGCATAAGCCGAGCTAGCCAAAGAGAATTTGCAGGCAGGGTGAAGCAAGGGTTAAGTCAATAGATACGCAGTGGCTGACATTTAAAAGGGCTAATTCAAAATACACAGAACAAATACATTCCAACGAGAAAGTAAAATTCAAGGTGATAACCTACCAGCCTTGGTAAAATCCCATGGGATCTGGGAGAACTAGCTGAATGGATACAAAATTGGTTTGAAGGAAAGAGTCCCTGGTGGTCTAGTGGGTAGGATTTGGCGCTTTCACCGCCGCGGCCCAGGTTCAATTCCCAGTCAGGGAATCAGGTTAGGGGCAGCATGGTGGCTCAGTGGTTAGCACCGCTGCCTTATAGCGCCAGGGACTCAGGTTCGATTCCAGCCTCAGGTAACTGTCTGTGTGGAGTTTGCACATTCTCCCAGTGTCTGCGGGGTTTCCTTGGGGTGCTCCGGTTTCCTCCCATAGTCCAAAAATGTGCAGGGTAGGTGGATTGGCTATGCTAAATTGCCCATAGTGCCCAGGGATGTTTAGGTTAGGTGGGTTAGGCAGGGGAAATATAGGGATAGGGGAATGGGTCTGGGAGGGATGCTCTTCGGAGGGACTTATTGGGCTGAATGGCCCGTTTCCACACTGTAGGGATTCTATGATTCTATGGTAGCAAATGTAAGAAATTATATATAATTACATGAAGATGGATAGCAGGTCAGAAGATTAGACAGAACATAAAAAATACAGCAAAAGACAAGGAAAAATTAGAATATTAGAGAAAACTAGGGGGAAATAGAAAAACGGATAGTAAGAATTTTTATACATATTCAAAAGAGTTAATAAAGTAAGCATTGGTCCTATAGAAAGTGAGTCTGCAGAGTTATTAATGGCCAATAAGGAGATGAAGATGAATTGATGAGGTTTTTTTCATCAGTTTTCATCACAGAAATAGCTATAAATCAGGTAACAGAAGAGAGGGAAGAACTCAATTAAAATCACCACAGATGTAGTACCGAGCAAATGACTGGAGCTGGGAACTGACAAGAGCCTGAGCCCTGACAGATTTCATATGAGCATATGAATTAGGAGGAGAAGCAGGCCACTTGAACCTTCAAGCCTGCTCCACCATTCAATTAGATCATGGCTGATCTGTTAGTATTATAGAGTCATACAGAAACAGATCCTTCGGTCCAATTTGTTCGCTCTGACCAGACACCCCAATCTGACCTAGTCCAATTTGCCAGCGTGTGGCCCATATCCCTCTAAACCCTTCCTAGTCATATACTCATCCAGATGCTTTTTAAATTTTTTAATTGTACCTGCTTCCACCACTTGCATAATGCTCTCCTACAACCTCTTCCATCAGGCTGTTTCAAACAGATAGCTAACACTAAATATTATAAGAAACAGGGGAGGTACTTCTGATGAGACGGCAAGCTACAAACAGGTCCAAGAACAGCTTCTTCCCTGCCATTATTAGACTGATGAATGGACCCTCTAACTTCAAATAATGTTGATCTTGCTTTGCACACTTCCTGTGCAGTGTAACCTGTATGCCTCGCTCTGTCTAAGTATGTTTTGATACCTATGTCCTTGTTTGCTATGATTTGCCTGTACTGCTCACAAAACAAAGCTTTTTACTGTACTTAGGTACATGTAACTACAATAAATCAAATCCAATCAAACCCTTTATGTAAAAACGTTACCCCTCAAGTCCTTTGAAATCTTTCCCTTCTCACCTTAAACCTATGCCCTCTAGTTTTGGATTCCCCCACCTAGGAAAAAGACCTTGACTATTCACCCTGTCCATGACCCTCAGGATTTTATAAGCACCTATAAAGGTCACCCCTCAGCACCCGCGCTCCAGGGAAAAAAGTCCCAGTCTATACAGCCTCAACTTATAACTCAAACCATCCAGTCCTGGCAACATCCTAAATCTTTTCTGCACCTCTCTCAAGTTTAACAACTTCTTTCCTACAGAAAAGTGACAAGAATTCTATGCAGTATTCTACAGTGGCCTCACCAATGTCCTATAAAATCACAACATGACATTCCAACTCCTTATGGCACACTGCTGGTCACAGGCCACCAGTCTAAAGCACAACCCTCTACCACCTCTTTCCTTCAATGTCAATTTTGTATCCATTCAGCTAGCTCTCCCAGATCTCATGTGATTTAACCTTACTAACCAGTCTGCCATGCAGAACCATGTCAAACACTTTGCTGAAGTTACCTACACATGATAGTGAGAGTAGGAAAAGGAGGATAGTCTCCCTAGTTACTCTTTTGTCCATAATGTACTCTTTGGATTCTTCTTAACTCTATTTGCCATAATTATCTCATGTCCCCTTTTTGCCCTCCTGTGCTTCCCTCGAGTATACTCCTACTGCCCTTATACTTCTCTAGAGAGTCACTCAATCCCAGTTGTTTATATCTGATATATGACTCCTTCTTTTTCTTGACCAGAGCCTCAATTTCTCAAGTCACCTAGCATTTCCTATACCTACTAGCCTTAGCCTTCACATTAACAGGAACATACTGTTCTGAACTCTCATGATCTCATTCTTAAAGGCCTCCTGCTTCCCAACCAGCCCTTTATCTGCGAATAGCCTCCCCCAGTCAGCTTCTGAAAGCTCTTGTCTAAGACTGTCAAAATTAGCCTTACTCTAATTGAGAACTTTAATTATTAGATCAAGTTTATCTTTTTCCATAACTATTTTAAAACTACTAGAATTATGATCATTTGCCCCAAAGTGCTCCCCACTAACACGTCCATAGCTGGCCCTGCCTTATTTCCCAAAAGAAGGTCACATATTGAATAAGAAAGTTTTCTTGTACACACTTAAATTTCTCCCCAACCATGCCCTTAACAATATGACAGTCCCAGTCTACATTTGGAAAGATAATATCCCCTAACATTACAACCCTATTATTCTTACAGATATCCAAGATCTCTTTACATATTTGCTTGTCAATTTCCCGCTGACTTCTGGGGG